CCAACTGGCAACGCCAGGTGAAACCCAGCAATGAGAGGAAGGCGCCCTCTCCCCTTCCACAACTCTTCCCACTCACAGGGGTCGCAAGCTTCCGAGATACCACAACAATCTGTGATCTACCCCCTGGGCCCTGCAGGCGTGTGACTTGGAATCCTCGGGATACAGCTCTTGGTTAAGCACCAAGAGTTCAAACCAAAAATAAAACCAACGGCCTTACTTTGCCACTTCCTTGATCCATGCGAGCCTCAGTTTCCTTACTATGAAATGGGAACAAGAAGACATCGTAGCATCGTTATGAAAATTGAATGAGGTAATCTGCAAATAATACCTGGCACCTAGCCAGTGTTCATGAAGCACAGGCACATTTTGACCATGCAGACTTTAGCTCCAGAAATCTCAGCAACTCAGGGCCCTTCCTCCTGGCCACTGTGTACCTGACCAAAGTGGCTCCATCATAAAAGTCCCTGGAAACAGAGCAGCCACTACAGACACCCTCGAGGGCGACAGAGCTCAATTCCACAAGGACAGCTACCCAAGGGCATCCTTAAGCAAAGAAGAAGGTCTCTCTGGAAACCAAGGGCCACCACCCTCACTGATTACCCACCCAAGCAAGGGCTCCTGGGCACCTGAGAAAGCATTGTCACCAGCTACAAAACAGCTGTCTCCCATCATCATGGCACAAGCCAACAGGACAGGGGCCAGCAGTGTGGCGCAAGGTATGGGAACCCTAGATCAGGAGCTTCCACCTGGGCCCTACCTGCCAGCCGGGCAACCCCACAGCGTCCTGCACTGCGCCCCTTGCTGGGTAAGCATCTGCCTGAGTCCACCTCCCACACCTTCTTCCTAAAGGCCAGAAGAGAAAGGGTAAGACACTGCGTGAAGGGCTTGCCCCTGCAGACCTACCGTGAAAACTCCTCGTCCTCAAGTTGATCCTAATCGTGGCTAACTTTCAGGAACACGCCAGGCCCTAGGCACTCTGCTGGACAAATTTCATCTTAGCTATCATCTTGTGCCTTTAATTCGTTTTTGTTCTCCAGTATTGGAACCCAGAGCCTTGACATACTAGACAAGCACTCTAACTCGTATTTTATTTAGAGACTGGGTCTGCCTCAGCCTCTCAAACAGCAGCTGGGATTAAAAGCAGGTACTTATGCACACATCTGGGAGGTGGCTTGTAAAATCTCTGTACACCCAGGCATGATAAGACAGGTTCAGTCAGGAAGATAGCAAGTTCAAGCCCAGCCCAGGCAACTTAGTGATTTAGTGAAACCCAAAGATAAAAACGGGCTGGGCATGTAGCTCAATGTGAAGGCCCTGGTTTAATCCCCATTACAGCTAAACAAAAAATTAAGCGAAACCTCGATCACATCCTGCCTCTCAAATGGAAGGGAAAGATAAGCACAGAGGCACAGGTCCATCTACAGATGGCACCTGCATCCCATAGAGAAACAAACAATAGAGTACAAGAACAAACTGAAACGCTGGACGTGGTGACGCCCACCTGCAATCCCTGCACTCAGAAGACTGACACAGGAGGATTGCTGCAAATTGGAGGCCAGCCTGGGCTACACAAGTAACTCAGGCAGATACTGCATCCCCTTAAGGAAGTAGAGCATATCGCCACCTCCTCTGGGGCAGCTGAAGCGTGGTAACCTCCCTCTGAAGAGGGCCACATGGAAAAGGAGAAAATCTCAGCCATGGCTGGGGTCAAGTCAAGCATCAACAGAAATAAAGCTGCTGCTAAGCGTGGACCCTTGACATGATGCTTCCCTTCAGTAGTCTTCTTCCTCCAAAGTGATGATCCCAATCCAGGCACACAGACAGATACCTATAATCCCAGCTACGCAGCAGAAGGCTGAGGCAGGGAAGATCACACAAGTTCGAAACCAATTTGGGCAACCACAGTGTAATCCTAAGAAACATCAAACCAAGTCCAGCTGAGGGACATCCTACCCTCCTTAAAACTGGGAGGGTCATCAAAAGTAAGGAAAGTTGGCTGGGCCCCACCTGGCACACGCCTACAATCCCAGCACTTGGAGGCTGAAGCAGGAGGATGGCTGTGAATGCAAGGCCAGCCTGAGCTCCATAGTGAGTTCAAGGCCTGAACTACATAGCAAGACCCTGTCTCAAAAAAAAGTGTTGGGAGGAACCGTCACTGCCTGGAGGAGCATGATGAGACACAAATAAATGGAACATGGTGTGATGGATGGGATTAGGGGACTGAAAAGAAAATTTTAGGCAGGGCAGGCACCACACACCTGCAACCTCGTCTCGCTGGAATCCCAGCTAGCCAGCAACGGGGAGGATCACAGGTTCAAAGCCGCCCTAGGCAAGTCAGTGAGACCCTGACTCAAAATGAAAAATAAAGCTGGGTATGGTGGCACACATCTATAATTCCAGCACCCAGGAGGCCGAGGCAGGAGAATTACCTAGAGTTCAAGGCCAGTTTGGGCTACAAAGTGAGTTCAAAACTAGCCTGAACTACATAGTGAAATCCTGTCTCAGAAAAAAAAAGAAAAGAAAAGAAAAAAGGGTTGGGGATGTGGATGTAGCTCGGTGGCAGGGTACTCGATGGCATGTTACCAGGCCTTGAGTTTGATCCTAGGAACTGGGGAGTACAGAGGTCCTTAATGAAAAAACTCAGGAAAACTGTTTGGTGTTTGTTTGGCTTTTTGAGACAGGCTCTTGCTATGTAGAGTCCAGACTGGCCTTCAGTTTGCTGTGATCCTCCTGTCTCAGCATCCCAAATGCTGGAATTACAGGCGTGTGCCACCACACCCAGCAGGACATCTGAACAAAGGATGGGACTTAGTTATGTAATAACATCAGTATCATTCACTAATTTAATGTATGATGCTAATAATGGGTCGAGAGATAGGGGAACTCAGGCCAGGGGCTTAGCTCTGCGGCACAAACACCTGCCTGGCAAGCACAAGGGTAAATTTGATCCCCAGTACGAAAGAAAAAAAAAGGTGGTGAGATGGGGGCATTCTCAGCACTGTCCTTGCAACTTTTCTGGAAATCTAATACTATAAAGTTTATGAGTTTATTTTAAAAATACGTAAGAAAACTACAGAGCAAGTCCTTCAAGTCTAGGTGGCCGTGGAAAGACTGCCGACATCTGTGATGAACCTGAGTCACAAGGAACAGCAGTGGGACCCAAGACAGCACATTTTGGGCAAAGGGCACACGGGTACCATGGAGACAAGGGACGAGCACTGGGTCACCCCGGGGACGGTCACCGGGCCTTCAGACTCCAGCTTACAGGGGCCAGAAGGTCACCGGAGGAGTCAGCACAACAAAATGCTTTTTAAGAACATTCTGGCCGGACGTGGTGGTGCACTCCTGTAATCCCAGTACTGGGGAGGCTGAGGCAGGAGGATCATTGCAAATTTGAGATCGGCCTGGGGCTACAAAGCACACCCAAGGCCAGCCTGAACTGCATAGTGAGACCCTGTCTCAAAAAGACAAAAAATAAAAGAATATTCTGGTTGTTGAAGGGACAGGTGAGGACAAAAAGAGACAACGATCACATGTCAGTCACAGTTCAGGCAGCAGGGGGAGATCACTGGGTGACAACACCCAGGGATGTGCCACATATAAGCAGCATCTCCATACACACAGAGGACTGAGCAGGAGGTGCATTCCCCTGGGGACCTTCCCTGACTGACACCCTGCAGGAAGTCTCCACTCAGGGCTATCGGGCACTGCAGTCTCCCTGGGGGCGCTGTCCGTTAGGACCCGCTCTGCCACTTGGCACCTGGGAGCTGGTACCATCTGGAGCCTCAGTTTCCCCATCTGCAAAATGGGGAGGACACTGCCTACCTCAGGAGGAGGTGAACTACAGAAAGCTCCAGTGTAAGTACCAGCCTTCACAAACACGCACATCATTTTTATTAGAAAGCCCAGGGTGACAGGAGGCTAGGAATCTCCCCCAACATCCCACATCCCACAGACAGAAAGGCAGTGGTGGGGGAGGGACGACCCTTCTGCCCACCCACACAGGATTCAAGCCATAGGAGCGTGCTGATGCGACCAAGTGGCACTGGCTCCCAAGGGTCCCCTTTGGGACACTGTCTCCCTGCTCACACGAGGTGCCCTGATTCTCCTGGCATGGCAGGCTTGGCTGTGACAAGGAGGGGGCTCTTGTGAATCCTCAGCTCTGACCACCCCCGACACAGCTGGGCCTCGCCTGACCATCTGCCCCTGAGGTTGGCCCAACGTGACACGTGGTCCTCTTTAAAAGCCCTGAGGAGGTTTTCCATTTCAGAAGCCTTAGGGAGTCACCTCTCGTGACATTCTGTACAGCATTCCATCTGCAGACGGACGTTTTCACCAATATCCAGAGCTATGAACAATAGTCCACTAGCTCACTTTTAAAAGCACTCTGATGGCAAAAGTGAATCACTGCTCCCACTTGGGAAGCCTCAGAAATCTCTTACAGCCAAAGGAAAAGGACCAGTCCCTTGGACTGGTGAGGAGCCTCCGAGGCCCCTACAGCCTGAGAGCAGGCTGTGCCTGCTCTCATGTGCCACGTTTTGCCCTGAATACACACAAGTCCCAGCTTTCCACGCCCTTTTTATCGCTAACCAAGACCACCGCCTTCCACCGAGGTGGGCCAACTTCATCCCACTTCTGAGATTCCAAAGGGCCTGGGCTGAAATCAGGAAGCCGCTGCGAACTCCAGAAGCTTCCAGAACATGCTTCACATTCTGATTCCTGAAAGAATCACCCTGGGGAGACAGGTAGCCAGGCGTCCTCAGTCTGGACACATGCCTACAACGACGGTAGGGACAATTCCTACACAGCCAGGTGAGCCCAAGCAAACCAGAAAGACTTCTCTAGAAATTAGGCCCATCCGTCAAGGGGTCTGCGCCTCGCACAGCAAGGAACTGTGCAGAGGCTGGCTCCCCCGCCACAGTTCAGTGCTCTCCAACAACGAAAAGAAATCCCCACTTCCTCCGCAACACGGGAATAGAGAAAGCAAGAGTTTAACTCACCTTTGGAGCGAGTGGCGATATCCATGCCCTCCACCACCTCCTGTTCTGTTTTTATTTCCTCTTCAGCCAAGCTGAAACAGAGCAAATTACATTCATGTTGAGGGAGGCTAAGAACCCACCCCAGGGGGCAGCTGCTGAGATGCTGGGGGCAACCCACCTTCAAGACAATGCCCCAGCCTCATCCTGGGGTGGGAGGAACAGCCTGAGTTGACTGTTATGATTCCTAAGTAAGGGGTGCTTCTTTCCTGATACTGTGTCAGCCTTGCTACTGGCCAGGCTACCGGGGGATGCAAACTAGCCTCTCTTTCTATATAGGCAATTACAGTCTGCCCCCTTGGGCCCAGGGGAAGCCAGCCTTCAAATAAACAAGTTTCTCAGGGTGAACACTAGCAAAAGCAGTCGGATTGGTTGGAAGTGTTTCCCAGGGCACCCCAGAGTTCTAAATTTTGTTAAGGTGGAGTATTTATCCCCAGGACTCCCCTCTAAATTTTCCAATTCCCTGATGAAGCTGCAGCGTGAAAAATAAAGATATAGGTTAAATGACAAAGTACTGTAGAAAAATGTGCCCAGACTAGAAGAAGCCAAAGCGCTGGTCTCAAAACAATGCAAACCACCAGCATGTATCTCAGGAATCAGAGCAGGGTCCCTGCTCTCCGGCCTGCTGGCTGGTGCCTCCCCGTGCACAGGCATGGCTGCCTTTTGAACTAATTATCCCCCACCAGGAAAGTGGAATGAGGAAGGACTGCTTAAAGACAGGTCAGGGAGCAGAGGGAAGAAAGTGGGCCCCCTTAGCTGGAAAGGTCTGTATTCCAGATCTCTCTCTCTGTCTCTGTCTCTGTCTCTCTCTCTCTCTCTCTCTCTCTCTCTCTCTGTGCTCAAACTGGGGTTGAACAGACAGCAGGCCATTTCAGGTCTTCCCCCAGAGACACCTCGCATGCCAAACCAAAGGAAGAAATGAAGTTCTGCTTTTATAGGTGCAAACGTTTTTGAGGTGCTAGAACTTTCCGAGCATTTGGGCTGACACTGCTGTGGTAGGAATCTGAGCAATCCCTAGATGTAATTCCATCAGACCATGGTTCAACGAGAAGAAATGGGTTCATCACCAATTGATAGGGCTGGAATTTTCCATTTGGAAGACTCAAAGCCAGGACAGGAAGAAGGCTGGAGAAGAATGTCCTGTCTGTGTTCCGCGGTCTGGGACAGTGACAGGGCAAAAGATGAGTCCAGAAAGGCAGCCTCAGGCCTGGAACCCCAGGGTAAGATGGAGACGCTTTTAGGAGAGTTCCAGGTTGGTTGGGAGGAGAGAATTCAGGATGGGAGCTAGATAGAAAGGAAAAGGTTATAGCTCAGAATCAAGTTATGGGAGTGTGGAGGCCTCAAACTTAAACAGTCCCAGCAGACAGGCGAAGAGAAAGCAGCAGCATAGGCTCAATCAGAATATCAGCACATTTAGCATCCTGATACTGAACCGAGCTCGCTATGTCATTTACTCAGCATCTGTAGAGAAACCAGGGACACAAATCACCAAAGAAACAACTGACATGTTGTCACAAACGGTTTCCATCAGGAGAAAGCAGCCTGCTAAATTTAAACACATAACATGCAATAATACAACAATGATTTACTGAAGGTGATTTTAACACTTGCCACTCACAGCAAACTTCAGAGCAAAGCATTCTCAACTTAGAAGCACTCTGCCTGGGACACAAAGGTTGTCCAGCTAGATGCTGTTGATGGGTGGTTCTTGCTTGGGGTGACTGGAAATAAACCGTAACAGAAAGCCGCCTCACAGTCCTCAGAGAGACGGGTAGATGGTTAACTTCAAAAGAACAAACAGCAACCTTGATCTTTCTAGCAACTAGAATTCTGTTTCCCTCTCTAGCATGAAGTATGTGAAATCTTAAACTTCTTGAAACCGATCCCATATTTTGATTGCTAATTCCAGATCTCTCTCTCTCTCTAATGCTAATCTGTGCTCCAACCAAAATGTACAGTGGTAAAAGAAACAATTACAAATAACAGAGCCAAAAAATCCACTTGAAGGTTTTCTGCTGTGATGAAAACATTCAAAGGTGTATTGATCACGGAGGAGGAATGCATTCAAGAGAACAATTATTTGGCTTGTAACAGCCTAGAAGAGCTAAATACTCAAGGCAGGAATGCCACTGTGAGACTAAGAAATGCAAATAGTTATGGGGTGGCTGTTTGCTGCTGGGTTTCAGATGATCAATTCTCAAGCAGAAGAGAAAGGGGAGGAAAGTTAAGCTGTTTTATCTTGCCAAGTATTACAAGTGGGCACCATAATCACCTTACTTTAGCAACAGCACCACCAGCTTGAGCCCAGGATTTCTAACACAACAATTTAAGAAAACCATCTTTTCAGGGATCAGCAAACCCTCCTTGCAAAAAGAACCGTGTATGTGTGCGCACACCCACACACAACTTGGACTTGACGAAAGGAAATTACAGTGTATATGCATTAGAAGAAAAAAAAAAAAAAAACTTCATTCACAAAGCAAAGACCAGAATGCAAAATTAGTCATTTCGAATAGCCACATCTAAAGTACTTCCTTTTTTTTTTTCTTTTTCCTAACACCACTCATCTCCTGGTTTTGTTTTGTTGCTTTACTTATTTCTATTTTTTAATTTTCTGGTTTAGTGTCAAGTACTGGTATGTTGTTAGGGGGAAAGGAGAAAAAACCATGAATATTACATTCAAAGTGTTAAGAAAAAAAAGATTTGTACCTGTCTGAATGCCCCACAGATCTTGGTCAGTTTAGGTTCACAGCTGGTCAGTGATTTGGGAGAGAAATGATCAAGTAATTTTTAAAAAGAATAGGCAGTTGCATCTGGAGAAAATACTTTGAACTTCTGCCATTAACACATTAAAGTCTTAGGAAATACACAGCTTCTTTCCTTCCCCAGCAACCCTGATCATCTGAACCAAAAACAAAAGAACAAGAAGTCCTGTTTTCAAACTGACATTACTTTTATTTTTCCTTTTCTTTCTTTCCTTCTGTCTGTCTATTGGAGACAGGGGGACACTAAAGGTAAAATTACTGAAACCCAAACAGTCTTTCACCCCAAAAGGGAAAATTCACCATCAAGTAGTTGCATATACATTGCATACACCAGCACCAGCACCAGCACCAGCACCAGCACCAGCACCACCAGCACCACCAGCACCAGCACCACCAGCACCACCACCTCTTTACCCAAGTCACTTGCCTGTGGATTTCACAAACTGATACATTTCAGACAATTCAAAGGAGAGCCAACAGCACCTGCAAATATAACCCAGACCATCCTCCCTCCCAAAAAGAATAAAAGATTTCTTCCCCAATGCCTGGAAGAGATATGCACTGAAAAAAAGAGCAATTAAAAGTTGCAGATGAATTGCTACACCTCCAGGATGCTTTAAGCCTTCTGATTATTAATCCTGAGGACTCAGGGCTGGTCCGTAATTCCCAGGAATCTCATCCCCTCAACACTTCCAAGAGAGAGGAAGAGAGAGAGAGAGAGAGAGAGAGAGAGAGAGAGAGAGAGAGAGAGAGAGAGAGAGAGAGAGAAGCATCTAGTTTTGACCAAAATATGCCTGGATACACAATGCCCAGGTATTTCTTTTCCCCCAAGTGCCCTCACTATTTGACTTTTAACCAAGAATCTCTAACCCAACTAGAATACATAACCAGCATGCACAAGAGTCTGGTTCTCAGATGAGGATCATCACACAGCATTTCAAGAATCATGCATCATTCGAAAGGGCTTTTCCTGGTTTTTTTACTTTCATTCAAAAAAAGATACCAAAATGGTCCAGGCTGTAAGAAATATTTAATCCCCAAGGCATAGCATCTTCCTCTTCTAGATTATAAAAGAGTTAACATTAAAATGAGAAAAACCATGCTTCCCTAAATCTGCAATTAATTTTTTTTTGAAATGGGTGGGTAGAGAATGGTTAGCAGAGCAGCTTTATATAATAAGCACTCACCTAAAACAGGCAGAGTCATCGGTAGCTAAGCTATTTATGCAGGATTCTTAAAATGGCGTCTGGCAACACTGCCTCACTCCTGAACTGAAGCTAAAATGGTAGCAGTTTGTTCAATAGCTGAGCGTGTGTTTAAGCAGCCCTGCTAGTTTCAAAGCCACCTTCCTAAATATCAGAACTAGGAAAACCTCAACCAAAGGACACCAACAACCCGATGTTAGAAGCTTTAAAAAAAAAAAAAAAAGCTGCAGTGACAGAGGGTTGGTGAAGTCACAGGTTCCTAAGGAAAAGCCTCCCCTTTCAGATGCTGAGCCTTGCACAGGAGCTCTGCTGTGGCCGGGCCCCCTCGCCCTGGACTTAGCTAGGTGGAAGGTTAGGAATCAGGCAGCCCCGCAGCGGAGAGTGTGCACAGACAGGTGTCTGTGTGCACACAGGGAAATGTTCCAAGGGCCTGGGAGGAGGTGGGGGAGGGCACCCATTCCCCCTGCTCCGTGCATGAGAAACTCGCTCAAATTTGCACCACCAAGCCAGGTAAGATGCAAAGTGCTTCAAGAACAGGGTGCATCTGAAAAGCTGCGCTAGAGGGCTGCCCCTCAGTCTGAGGCCAAGGCAAAGTAGAAAGGCAGTTATGAAGCCTGAATGCGGGGCCCCAAACACAGCCCCCCACAGGAGCCACTCCTGACAGTTCACAAGAAGAAAGCGACACTCCGGTCTGCAGAGGAGAAACCCAAGTGGAATGTTCCCTTCTCCAGCGCACAGGATACTCACAAATTAGATTTGTCTACCCCCAAGAGAGCCCTGAGCATTAACAATGGGTTTTTGCAAAACCCAGGCTTCCAGAGGCCGAACTAAGAGCCTCAATAGCCTCATCGTAGCTAATGTCATTTACTGGTCAGGTCTGAGAATTGGCCTCAAAATTCCACTAGTGCTGGGAGTGGGGAGTCTCAAGGTGACTGCTTTTCGGCTCCAGGGGAGTAAGGAGGGCACAATGCCCAAGGCCAACCCGGGGCGAGGACGCGCTGCTGGCTCTGTGCCGGCCGGTAGGTAGGTGATCGGATGGGGAGGGCCAGCCTGGCAGCAAGCTGGCCGCAGGGCTGGCAGGGCCACCACCTGCTTGTTTGTCTGTAAGGAGAGCAGAGAGGGGGAAGGGCGAGGGATTCTGGCAACCCGAGGCCAAGGGTGAATCCCTTGACTTGTTTTTGCATTTTAAGAATGAGATGTAGGGTTCTACACTTCCTCCCCCCACATCCACGCCCCTGCCATGGGATGAGGAGGGTCCCCTGGAATGTATCTTTCTGGGGTCAACCAGAGGCAAAGCCAGACTCGGGGCTGACAAATGTTTTGTTGCCTCTGTTTGCCAGAGGAGCTAAGAAGAAAAGAGAAGGGAAAGGAACTGGGCTTTCCAAAACCCACCTTTGCCTTCAGGGTTCTTTTGGTGCACATCACCCAGCTTTCCAAAAGGTGACCTAGTCTCCCCCCACACACACACCCTTGCAAGACCTGATGGAGTTTCCCCACTGGCTCTTCCAGGGAAAGAAAAGGGGGACTGTTTTGTTTAAAAGAATAAGGGGTTACACGAAAGAAGGGGGGAAGCTATTGTTTTCATCCCTAATTTATAATCCCAGAGGCCGCATTGTTTGTTTCTTTCTGACTCAAATCCTTGAGCTGTTAATTATAAAAGTAACTGGACTTGGCTCCAACAGGCTAACTATGTTCATGCTCAGCAATTAGAAAAACTCTGAAGAAAGTCTACTGAGTGATTATATATAATTAATTCCTAGTTACAGACCGAACACTGACCATTTTCTGGAGCTAATAAAAGCTGTGACTCCCCCTCCCCCACGTGAACGCCACTTAATTTCCGAAAGCAGAAAGTGCATCCATCCTGGAGGGTCTTGAAGGAGAAAAGAGAGAGAGTGAGAGAGACAGAGAGGGAGGAATGAAGAGCTCCACTGTGTCTGTTTGTTCCTTGCAGCTGTGCATCCTCTTCGGGGAGCGAGAGGCAGAAGGAAAAAAGGAAAACAGCCCATCCTTCCGTCCCTCCCTCTGCAATTCACAAATGTGGCAGAGGGGACATTCTACCTTGATGAGAGAAAGGGAGGGGGAGGGAGGGGAGGCACCTCAGGAATGGAATGCAGGAGACTCTTCAGTTTGGCGAACCCGCTTTTTCCTAAAAGGACAAAGATGGTGGAAATTTCCAGAAGACAGATCCTCAGTCCACACATTGCAATTGTCAGTCTTTAACAATTTCCCCCAAGTCCACTGGTTTGGGGGGGCGGGAGGGAGGAGCGCTGGGGTGTTCTGTGGGACAGTCCTGTGGGCCCCACCTAGTCCTACTGCAATGCAGACATCTATTCTTGCCTTTTAGTAGCTGGGAAATAATGCTACTTGGAAAGTAATTAACTTTTTCCTGACCCATGGTTGGTGGTAGCTACAGAACCAGAGGAAAAGTGGCCCAGCTTGCTCCAGGGCTGGGAACCTGCTAGAGCTCCACACTTGAAAACAGATCTTGGCTTTCCAAACCTGTGGGAGCCATTTTAATGCAAGCTTTCAGAGGACAAACGCGTTGCCCTGGGTCTCCTTCCAGCCCAACAAACACAGTATTATGCAAACTGTTGAAGGCACCAAACCAGGAGTCTTGTGATTAGATATTGTTCTAGGGAGGCCGCAAGAACCTCAATATGCAATTTCCATTTACAGTGAGGAGATAAAAACAAAGAAAATAGCTAAGTGTATGAACTTAACTTGAATGGGATAAGGGGCACTGTGCGGTTTTCAGTATATACTGTAAAGTACCCTCACTTTTATTCTAAAATGCTGGCTCACCTTACACAGGCTTCTCAGCTCCTAATGCAACGCCTTAGTAAAGGAGCCTTTTTCCAATTGATGTCAAAAGTTTGGGTTGCTGGGCACTAGAAAAAAAGCTGACTGACTCCATAAAGTTAGCCTAACACACCAAGTGAATATATTTCCATGATTACAGTCACGCTGGAGTGGTCTCCAAACTGCAAATTTATGTGGTGAACTCTCAGAGAAATTCCAAAGGTAATGCTAAGCAAAAGACTACTTTTGTCACTTTTAAATTCTAGCCACACCATCAAGAGATGGGGGGGAAATGTGCAAAGTGAGAAACAAATTGTATATATGGCCAGTGAACATACAGATGTATGGATCAGACTTGGAAAAAGGCTAAATCTGTTGGCCAGTGTGCCCTGAATCAAAACAAGTTTGGTGGTGGATGGGATTTTGCAACATATCCGTGAGAATTCTAAAAGGTAAGTACTAATACCCCACCCCCACATGCAGACCACCACCAGCACCCCCCACCCCAATGTCTATAGGGCTGGGAGTCTAAGAACAAGCAGTTTCACTGCATTCCACAAGCACAGCCCCTACCCAGAGTTATACAATCCAAACAAACCCAATTAAAGGTCTACAAGCAAGTCACAATGAACTGAACATTTCTGCCCAGGCTGAGGGTAAACAGGAAGTGAAATCTTCAATCCTATCTGCAGGTTATCAGGAAAAACTGGATTCAAACAGGCACTTAAACCCAAGACACTCTTTAAAAGCCCTCATTTTGTTCCCACTCCTGAAGCCCCCCCAGATGCTGCAACCAAGACCCCCTATTACAAACAGATACCAAATGTTTCCAAAACTCTTGATACATGGTCACAGAGGAAATGGATTTGCTTACTTACCCAACAAATGTTCAAGCAACCGTCTCATTTTTCCACAGTTAGGAAGAGAGAACAGGCTGGCAGATTTGGGACTTGATCAAAAAGGAAATTTTTTTTAAACAGTTACATGGTATTATTAAAAACACACAGCATCACAACAACACAAGTCAACAACTGGACGTGGAATGCTGTCATGAACCACGCTCATGATTTTATTTCCTCTGCCCTCCATCACCCAGGGCAGAGGATGATACAATGTAAAAAGTGGGGAGGTGAAAAGAAGGATCAAAGATACATTAGTTCATTGAAACCATGCAAGAGTAGAAAGCTACAGCATTCAGAGTCCTCCCAGATTTCTCTGCAGGATGTTGTCCAAGATCTTCCCCCAGCCCCCACCCCACAGTCCCCATCCCTACTCCAAAAACTTCTTCCTCCAGAGCCTACAAAACACTTTCAGAAACATTTGCTGGCTGTAGGCTGGCTTGCAGAACACTGTGTATCAAGCTGTCAAGCAAAAAGGCTTAACGGGGAGAAGCTCAGTAGAGGAAGAGAAAGACCATGTCCAGACAGCAGCACCCACCTAGGCCCAGGAGCCACTCTCAGTTCCCTAGCAGCGCTCTGCTCAGCGCTGGGTTCTGCTTCACACTCGGCCTGCCTCTCAGAACTCACGCCAGCCTTCCCAGAACCTCTCTGGAGAGGCAAACTTGCCTGCTCTGCTGCCTGCCATGAGCGCTCCTTGGAGAGGAGCCTGCTTGCTTACCTTCCATTTTCTTCCCCCAGCAGGCATGTGACACAAGAGCAGACAATAGTGCAGGGGGGAAACTGCTCAGAGAGAGAGACAGAGGGAGGGGGGGGAAAAGAGGAGGAAAAAAAGCTTCTCTTTTGGCATAGCAGGAGCTAGCTTCAAACTATTCCAGAAACACCATGCCCTGGTGGAAGAAAAGGTGTGCCAGGCCCTTGCCAGTTTGCAAAATCAAGCTAAGGCTAATGGCTACTTAGCCATGTGACCCAAGAAAGCAAAAAAAAAATTTTCTCTCTAAACAGTTCCAAGTTAACATAAGTGCTCTGGGGGCGAGTGTGGCACGGCCAGCCACAGAGAAATCACACTGCTCGCCCACAACTCGGATGTCTCAGAGGGAGGGGGAAAAAGATGGTTAAAAAGCCGAGCTTACCTCTGTGGATGCATTGTTAACACTGTGTAATGTCAATACTTATAAAACATGGAGGACAGGCTCCTAGTTCTCACAGAAAAAGGGTTTGGCACTTCGGCTGATGATCTGGCCGCCTAATAAAAGCTCATCCCCGATTGGCTGCCCCGGCAAATCGGAGTGTAAAGCCGGCCCGGATTGGCTGAAACACTTCCTGAGCGATTATCTTTGTGAGGCTCGGGTGAGCCAGAGCCATCCTGTGCATAGAAAAAGACAGGCTAAGCTAGGCCTTTTGCAGCAAGAAAAACTTGGGAAAGGGGCCCCCACACGCACTTCTCCTCCACTCTGCCTAGATTTTCCGGCACTAGCAAACCAGTGCAGCCAGCCTGACCTGCTCAGGCAAAGCCTGGGGCCCAGCAGCCACTGGAAAGAGAGCTTTTGGGGTGGGCTGGAAAGGGTTGCACCTCACCTGCCCCCACACCAGTGGCCCTGTGCTAAGGAGGAAGGCTGACCCTTTGCTGGAACGATTCGGCAGTGGTTCTCCAAGGGGAAAGGGAGCTGAGGAGTGGGGCGCCCCAGGGAAGCAGCCAAGGGAAGAAAGAAAAGAGGCAGGAGCCAGGCCTCTGAGGGGAACCAGGGCAGAGCCAGGAACCAGCAAGGCGCAGGCAGCCTGGCTTCTCGGAGGAAAGGAGTCGGCGGGGAGGGAGGAGGGAAGAGTGGTCAAGTTTGCATAGTCATTGTCAAAATGCCTCCTCCTGGAAAAGCAGGCCAGGCAGCCATTTGCCCAGCTGAGAGGCTAACCTCTCACCCCCCTCCGTCGGTCCTCAAAGGAAAACCAAAATGGGTGCCTGCCAAGATGCCAAGGGGCCCCCTCTCCACGCTTACCCTAAGAAAAGCCAAATGCGCTCCTAGCAGGCCACAGGCCTCCATCTACAAACTTCCCTTCCCCTCCAGGCCCCCTCCCCCACCGCTGAGGCCTGCTAAACCTGTCAGTTAAACAAAAATCTGACTTCCGTATTAGTCTGCCTTGCCTTCAGCTTCCTGCCTGTTAACCCTCTCTCGGACTCTGGGCCTGGCTGGGAAGAACTAGGCCCTGAGATCAGAAAAGGCCTGTGGAAAAATACCAGCTGCAGCTCTCCCGGCAGATGCAGAAAGAGAGAGAGAGAGCCGGCTGTCTCTTGCCTCTGCTTCCCAAGGAGGCGTGTACCTTCTGAATCCAGGGCACAGGCAGTGCCTCTCGGTCTGAGAAGCCATTTAAATCCAGAGGGAGAAAGAAACATGTCAAACCCGGCCGGGAAACAAGAACCCCCATTATAGTCAGGCCTGTCCACCCACAGGTTAGCTCTTCCTGCCACAATCACCCCTGTATGTGAGCGTGCTCTTGGGGAACTGGGCCCTCCTCAGTGGGCAGACAAATCCCATGAGCTTCATAAGGAGTCCTGCTTCAATTTATTTCCAAAGAGAAGGCTCCTTTTCGTCCCCTAAGGCAGATGGAACAGCTATTTCACACACACACAGCCCTGCACTTGGCACCCCCCCAAGCCCCCATCTCTGGCACTGCTCCCCAGTAAAATATTAACTAGTATTTCGGAGCTGTTTATAATTCCACTCATCTCAATAGTAATGGGAGGTCAGTGCCCATTTCCTCCTTAGCTGCCTTTGTAGAGAATGTCCAAGCGTTCTTTCTTGTACTATGCTTTATTTTCTCAACAAAGTGCTTCATTAACAAGATTTTTTTTAAAAAAAACAGCAAGAAGGAGCAACTGGAACTAAAGAAACACCTCTCTTTGGGGGCTGAAGGAAGCTGCCGGAGTTGACAAAGCCTTATGCTGGGAGATAAAATTAGGGAGGAATAAGTCTCCCCGCTCCTCTTCACATTAGGACTTGTGGGCTTTCTCACCCCACACTGTGCCCACAAAGCTAAGAAGAGCTGGTCATTTACTCTCCACCCTCCCCCACGGACAACAGATGCCCACTGTATGTCCATCGATTCTTCCTGGCTGGGAATCCTATAGCAGACAGGCTCAGGGCCCAG